AGGACTGTGTAATATATACTAGAGTGTTTAAAAGGACCTTTATAGGGGAGAGGTGGGAAGTGAATTCGAACGCGAATCCGATGCGTGAGGACTGTGAGGAATCCCTCTCCGGGCGATATCCGGGCGACTCATCTGTACTCCTATCCCCGTTCTTTCTGTATTCAGTGTCTTATAAATCTGCTGCAACTGACGATCTCTTAAAGTCCGAGGTTCAAGGGCATGCGGGTAGGCAGGCAGCCCCTCCAATCGGGAGGCTACAAATTCGGACATTGCGTTTTGACAAAGCAAGTCAGCTATTAATCTCACACCAAAGTAAGCCTTATCGACTACAGAAGTTTCCTCCGTTCACCTGCGCAAGCAAACGGGAACTTGGAAGCAGTATCTCGGCTTTTCAGTGCAGCATCAAGGCCTATGTTGAAGGATGCATCTCCTTTGAAAAATATTGGTACATTACCTCTTACCTAACGTTACCTTATTAAAATCATAACAAGGTCTCAAGGCTCTTTAAAATGTAGTACATTTTACTTCGATCACGTGAGTTATAAATGCACGTCGGCAGCATATTATCAAGATATTTGGTAAGGTATACAGCCAAATAACAGGTAGGAGCATAATATTTTGGTTCTGTGACCACCCTCATGACGGATGAGCACTTTGTTATTGGTCTTGATATTGCGCACAAGGGCCGACCTTAGGGTTAAGTCAAAGCCCAATTACTCTTCAGTACATGTAATTAGTCCTGCTTGATACCTTTTTTATTGGTAGTCTCAAGCCTGCTTTCCGGAACTGCAAATATGAATACTGCATATGTCAATTTTAAGCCTCTTAAGGCGTTCCGTAGGTTATCATAGCCTATGTATTGCAAAGATCACTATTGCATCAAAACTATGAACAAGCAACAGAAAATGCTCCTAATGAAATGTAATTCTAACACCAAAATAAAAGAATCCAAGTACAGTAGAATAGTAGCAGGTTGAGTATCAACAAATTGTGTATGCACGTTAATTTGCAGTACTGAAATTTTCATTGTATTTTAAATGATGCTGGAGATGCAGCGATCTGATTCCTATAAAAATCTAGCTGAGAGCCATCCCTTGACAGCTAACATGGACGGGATAAACCAATGGCATTAACTTACCTTTGGGATCAACTCAGCGGTAAACTTAACTTATGTGAAACCAACCAATCACACTGGTGAAGACTTGCCATTGAGTGTTGCTTTAGTCTCTTTACCGCAACCTATTTTCGAGGTTTGTTGTGTCAGATGTTTGTGTCTCGCTTCCCGTTTACGGCAAAGTTTCCCCAATCGATTTCCTTTTCGGCCAATGACCACTTTCTTGGCCTTAGGAGGGAGAATGATCACTGGCTATATGTGTTTCATGAGGATGGGAGGCTGGGTGCGGTTCCTACTAACTACGTTGAAGAATCAACCGTATTTGACCCTTATCCGTTACCCTTTTTAGCTAAAAAGTTCTGAAGACATATGTAAAATTATTGATTCTGCTGTTGCTGTAGTAGGTGGTCAAGATATCTATGAAAAGGAAACGATTCTTAGGTGAGTTTATGGTGCTATGCATAATCATTTTAGCTATCTCAAGGAATTGAAGGCGGATTTAACCTCTGGTCTTTCGAAAGTCAATCTGCCTAGTTTACCAACGCGCAATAAAATACGGAAATACGTAAAACCAAGTGGTATGTGCTGTATTGTTCTATAGCGTACTTTAGACACGCGTTCTAGTGCAACGGCGACGAAGACCGGCGCCGCTGAATGTAGGGCTAGGAATATTGTTGTGCGAACGCCTGGCCTCAGTTATTTGATGCTTGACAAGTTAAGAAACTCAACTCTTACTAGTTTTGACCGATGCGCCAACGGGTTTGTGAAAATGCTTAAGGTTCTCTCGGACGCGGATCCGCAGTTTACTACTCTTTCCAATGAGCTTATTTCGGAATTGCTTGTGGGCTGATTTTTATTAAGTGTTTCTTATTGTATTCTTAAGTTGCAAATACCATAAAATGAATCCTCTTTAAAATCGTATAGGATCCAAATCCAACCGTGAGAAGATCTATCTATGTTCGAACGGAAGATTGGAAAGGTTTGCAAGAACACATTGCTCATTTAGAACAGAGAGCAAAGGATCAGCAAGAAGGCAGTTGGCCCTTAAATGATGCCGATGCAGTGGTTATAAGTGATTTGGACGATTTTGTTGAACTTCTCGTAGGTCTTTCCTGTTATTTATAGCTCACAACTTTTCTGACATTTATCTTCATCACTTCCATACCATTGGTTGGGAGATTTTCTACTCGTCTTTCCTTTGGCCTTCTGTATGCATTGCCTGCACCTGTTTCCCCTACATCCACTGCCACTTTTGTACAGAATTTTAATCTTCAGGCTCTCTTACAATCCCTTTCTGGCTGTTTGTCCTTTGTCAGTTCGATTTTTAAGTTAGAGTTTAGGAGGTTTGCGTTTTGCTTCTGATTACTAAAGTACTTCAATATTTTTCCGCATAAGAGGTCTGCTCGCAGTTTTACTTCGTATTTACCCTTTGACGATTCCGTTCTTACCTATTTTTCCTCATTTAAAGAACCTTTTCTAGGTGAAAACGCTATTGATTCATTAAAGTCAACCTATGAAATGCAGAAATCCTGTTTAATTTCAGTGCAATGCGGACCCGGATATGGTGCGCACATGCCTATCTGACGACCGACTTCCTCTAGCGTTGAGCCACCTTTATCAGGGAGAGAAGAGCGTTCTTATTCGACGTTTTTACCTTTTGGTTACTGTGGCGACCTGTCACATACAACCTGCTGTTTGGCCCGTCTATCTTGACTCGGGTTTACCGCTAGAAATAATTCGTGAAATTAGGTCATCCGATGTTGGTTGGTGCATTTGCTTAATTCTCTCACAGTTTCTTCATTCGTGCTGAGATCTGTCTATAATATGCGTTATTTCTCGCCGTTTTTGGATAGTTTTGTTCAATGTGTGGTTCCAACACTAATTGCATTTTACGCACCAATTTTCCCCAAAACTTTTAATAAGGTTAGGCGCACAATTGTGATCACCTAGATATTTTTATACGGGTTACATATTTTCACCGGTGGTGTGATTTGTGGACGGATGCACTTTTATTCCTTTTCACGCACAATATTTTGCCCGCGTTTAAATATGCATGATTTGGATCCAGAAGAGCTTACTATGTGGAATTAAAGGCTATTGTAAGCTTTATCGTTTTAAGGATCCTTGGACTTCATCCTCGATCTTCGTGTACTGACGGTTCTGCTTACAAAAAGTAACAGTCTTCCAATAACCCTCCAGAGTAAGATTTTTAAACCCCTCATTAGAACATTCTGCACAAATTCTGATTGAAGACCATTGTAAACCTATTATTTTGCTTAACTATTTTTCTGATAAATCCACAAATCGCAATTAGGAGCTTTTTAGTACCTAGTCGTACCTGGTTTATTAATGTCACCTTGAACTGCTACCGATTCATATCAAATGCCTACTTGAACTCCATTGTCCATTGACGAAATGATAAAACTTTTGTCGAAGTAGCCTTCTATTCACGTTTACACTTGTGCTATAGTAATCAATACCAACAATTTAAATTCGATCATCGATTGAGCCAGCCCCGTATAGGTGGTGTGCTAAAATTCTAAATTTTTCCTTGAATCAACTGTAATATTTGCCTAAAAATATAGCTTCTTAGTTATCTAATTTATAATCCAAGATGAACTCGATGAATCTTTCTTCGACTGCGTTTTCGGAAAGGCATCGCGATCTGTAACAAGCGAGGTGAATTCCCTTGCTGATAATCCTCCAGTCTTCGCCTCTACGGTAAGACCCTGCATCTCTAATGCAAATCCACCACAGAACCAGGGTATGAACAATACTAAAACAATATCTTCGATTCTTCTTGATACTTTCATTCAATTTGTGTGCGCTGCCAACCGTCATTTTTGCACTTCCCCATCAACTCCTCTTACACCTATCATGAATACGATGCTTGGCAATCATGCCATCACCAGGGATCTAATAGAACGCCTCCTCTATATTTTCAACCGTGATGGTGAGTTCCAAGGACTGTGCTAATATAGCTCAGTTGTGCTTAACACAATGGCACTTGGTCAGTGTACCTATGGTTGTATTTGATGTATCTTGATTTTTGTGGGCGCTATCAGGTTTATTCAACCAATCTTTTTTGTGGTTTTTTAGTCGATCCTCTGAGTTTGGATGGCGTGTCATTTGTACGAAGGCTTCGTGGTGTCCTTCATGAGGGTTTTGACATCTCGTCACAACTCTACAGTGGTTTTTTGGTTAAACCGGATCCGGACGATGAGTTGAGTGCGGGTCAATTTGGTAGATACTGTCGCATTTCGTCCACGCAAAGTAGTGCTGGTGAAAATGGAGCCTGCGTTGGTGAGATCGGCGGGAGCGGCGATCATGTCGGTAGTGCGGATGAGGGTGGAGTGCGTGTTAGTGGTTCAGGAAAGAGTTTGCATCACCGCACAGGCCTCACAGATGCCACACTCCAACTGGCTCCTGACACCCCACGCAACGCGGTTCGTAAGCTCCTCGCTGATATCTTTTCGAGTCGCGACACAGCCAGTCTTATCTACCGCAACGATGTCAATGTTGTGATCGACGTTATCATTCGGCAAATCTGCGATCTACCGGCTAATTCACCGGTGGGCTACCTCTTGCTACTATTCCCGTCATTTCTGCTTGGGCACATAGAATTATAGGTTGTTCATTCACAAGCAATGTACGGAGTCATTCAGCTATTCTTTGTTCTTGTTTCAATTGGTATTCTTAGGTAATATTCATGTTACTTTGCTAAAAAATTGAGTACGTTCCATTATTGATCGTCTTAGTCATAATCTATAATTTTTACTGCTCCAATGTTTTATTCTTTAGATCAATCTCCCTGCCTCAAGGTATATATTAGTAAAAATTATTGAATTTCTCAATATTAATAGTTTGATCGTACCTGTTTCACTGTAAAGTGCAACAGAAATGTGTGCTTTGTGGCTGGTTTGGATCACATAGTCATGTGCATCATTGATCGCATTTGGTGTACGCTCATGTGTGTTTTATTCAATCACTAATCTAAAAACAGCACTAAGGCTGTTGCAAAACGTACTCAATCTTCGCAAATTACACTGGCTTTTCGTAGGGGCTGTCATGGCGCCAAGTCTCTCTTGTCATCCACAGTTTGTCTTATCATAGCCACACATTAATGTTAGCTTTAAAAGGTTCTGCTTTGGTCACTCGAAGATTCGCTATTTTTGAATTTAATCGATCCTAGCTCGACGCTAACAGTATTGAGAATGGTGTCTCCAAGTTTGAGAATTTAAAATTAATCGACGCTCTTGCAAGAGGGATTGCATGTCGTCTTGAACACTTTGAAGTTTAGTGCATATCTATTAGGGACTTGAAGGAAGCGTCATATGAGTCAGTCACCCAAAGTAATAGGAAGGGATGCTTATGCAATGGTAAACATTTTTGCACCCTCTGACGTTATCTTCGTGTAAAAACGGTGGGATTTTTACTCATGTACAAAATGTGAGCCTTAAAGTATCACAAGTGCTGCATTTATATTTGCCATTCTTTTTCCAACTTGCCGACCAACTGCAAACGTAACTTTTTGACCGATTAGTCGTTGAGACGAATCTACTGGAACTGTTACAATATCTCGTGTTGATTTCGATTTTGACTAACCTTCCTGAGAAAAGCCCCACAGATTACTGACCACTTTCAGATTCTCCAAGCTTATTGTCGTCTCTAATTTTATAGTTGGTAAACCTCAAACACTCCACTTTTCATTTTTCGTAGTTGGGAGTATTTGAAGATTCCATATCTGCAGTGAAGGGCAACCGTTGGCAATCTGTAGCAACCGAGAACTTTGAAGCGAGCATTAATATGAGTGAGAAAATTGACAATGGTTACTAACTGAAATTTCGACAAATCGACCTTTGTCACTTCATCGGCTCTGGTGCTACTACGTTTAAGCTGATGCTGAGATATGGTCTCTTCGTCTCTGGTTTTCGTATTGTTAATCAGTCCTTGCTCTAGCTTCTGCCCAATCGGTTCCGTTTACTCTGGGAGCTAACTGTCACTCATGTCGCTGATTGAAAATTGTTGCAGCTAAAGTCTCCAGTCGTTTTGGCACCCTCAAACACAGCATAGATCAGGTTGTGTTGGTATTTTTTCTGCTAAAAATCACCTAGCCTGCTTTGAAGCTATCCACTTCAGGAGTTGGATTTTTATGAATAGTTTTGCGACTTTTTTTGTATTTAGAATTTGTCCGAGTTTTTATTCTGCATGGATAAGGTGATTCGCAACACTGATTGCATGTCATGCACCAGCGGTCCCTATCGCTTGGAAGATCTCCTTGAAGCTCTCCGAGGAGTAGAATTTAGCGCCAACACTTTTGGTGCCCTGAATTCGCGTGATTTTACCACCTCGCGATCTCTGCGTCTAACTAATGATTTACTCACTCTGCTTAGCGCAATGAGCAGTTGATGCATCAATTGAGTTTCCCTTTGTTTGGTCGCCAACTTACTCATTCCATTCTTTAGCGATGTTTCTTAGAACTCTTCCTTCTCTAACGTTCGCTTCTTCAACTTTGTTGTGCTATTTTCCCAAGTATTTTCTGTAACTAATAAATGGGTTGTTGATTTTGTTGTGCAAGCTTAAAAACGCTTTTTAACTTAACTGCAAATTCGTCTTGTCTGTTGACTATTTGGTGTCGGAAGGCAGTTCATGGGCGTCCTTCTCCATATGAATTAAATGCTTGTGTACTTACGCTTGCTTCATCGGTTAAGAAGGGAGTGGTGCGTTTTCGAGTTTTTCATTTTGATTCCTTTATTCTGATAATAGCGGATTTCGTTGGTCACATTTACTTTTCGCCCGTGGTATAGGGTACAGTTATTTTTCATTTGACGCCCTGGAAAACCGGTACTGATATTATTTCAAAAGCACTGAAGAGGCTGTACATTTTAGTTGCACGATGTATGCAGGATCCTTGCTGGGACTTGCATGGTTACAGAAATGTCTCTGGTTACAATCCATTTTAACTCGAAACTCGTCAATCTGCATCTCAGTTATTTGTTTAGGAAGACCATCAAGAGTGAGCATCCGGTGAGGTATGTCGACCGTTTCCTGGTGCCGAAGGCTTGTGTGGTTCTGTTTGGCTAATCGTTTTGATGATTATGGCGTTGGTAAATGACGGTTTTGTGAGGTTCTCAATTTATCGCAATGAAAAGTACTCTTTCAAGTTTCATGTCATCCGTATCGCACTAGCCTTTGAAATAAAGTAGTCTGCTGACGTCTCTTGAACGTCCAAGTTGGTTATGTGTAGACTAATCTTCGTAAGCTCTGCTTGTGTCAAGTGTTATGAAAAAGGATTGGCATTTTATAAGTGTAATGGGGAATCTGAGCATTTTAGATCAGTTAGAGATGGTCACAACGAAAGCATTGTAAGAATAAGGTGGACTTTGCGATTATTTCGCGATTCATTGACATCTAGCATTAGCAGTTACATTTGGTCCTCATTCTCTAAACTCTTTGGATTAAGCTAGACAAATGAATCTTCACGGCATCCGGATTGGTTAATTTTTTCTACCTCATTCGGCTTTGAGAGGGCATGTTGGCGTTACTCTATCATGGTGGTATAAATTGAATCTAAAACGCTTATTTAATCCTGATTCCGTAGCAAGGAATGAATTGACCTTGTTTGTGCATCAGTGGCGTAGCCTCCAGGGGAGCATTACGCAAAAGTTTATCGTCCTTGAATAAGCAAAGGACACTGCAGTAAGTGGAACAAACAGGTGGTGCTAGCGTTCAAACAGAAAGCGGGTTTCTTTCCTGACCACTGGAAACTTTGAACGCACACAACTCGCAGCTTTTCACAGGTTTTACTGATTACAATCGAAAGTACTACTTATCGGAAATTTCTCTGCCAATTGTAATAGAATGCTTGACCGTTGCACTAGTGCCATACTTTTGAAGCGTTGTAACAATGCGATAAATTGCGCTAGTGCACTTGGAATTTGTCATTTCATCTACTGGTCAAGCCACTTCTAATGACACCTTGTACCAATGCAGGCTACTATTCCAATTTCTTCCTTCAAAGGGTCAGCATTGCTAAGGGTTGGCGAGTTAATTCATGCAAGCAGTTCGACAGTTGGTCTGCCATCAAGTGAGGTGTGGGACACTTGAATGAACATGCACTCGAGTTGTGAATGGGTGGAAAGATGAATGGCAGTGCGGAGTTCATCGGACTGCTTTTGTAAAATCAAAGTTCCCCACCTTTATTTTACTTTATAGGGATTGTTCAAACAGATATTGACATCGCTTAAGTATTAGTTAATAAACTGTACTTCATTTTGCAATAGCTATTCTTGCCATAATCTTGCCAATTGTCCAAAGTACTGGCTTGAGGTGTCGTAGTAAGGGCGAATGGTGGCTTGTCGCCGCAAAGTCGGCCATCACATTGAGTCTTCCGCAATGTGGTTGCCTTGAGGGTCATCAACGAAGTAAGGCATCTTGACTAAAGACATATGCTTTTAGGTTAATTAACTGAGTTCCATCAACTGCCAATAGTCTTCACTGAGGAGTAGTCTTGCATGCTTCATATCTTCAGGAATTTAGTTTGTGCATAGTCAAGAAGTCGAAACAATCTTCGGCTTTTCACTTTAGATGCATGACAGCGGTCGAAGATTTCATTCCGACTACTGGGTGAGGAGAACCTTGAGTCGTTTCCAAAAATCGTCAAAGGTAGCACTGCTTCATAGCCAATAGGTGGTGACTGTATTGAGAAAACAAAACTCATTTGAGTCCAATCTCTGTGAAGGTGGTGCTAGTAGGAAAATCAGTCAAGTATTTTATTTAGTGTGAGATGAATGAAAACAACAGTGCACTTCTTAGCACCTCTTTATTTTATCGTACTTGTAGTATCCCAAGAAATCCCACTGGGTATAAGAGGGCTCCAAGTGAGGGTGGATGAATGTATTTTTGAGGAGAGTAAGACAAGTACCAAGGCGACTGCCAGTTATAGAGGTAGTCAAATAAGTAGGGTGTTGCTGTACACCTTGCAACATGCATTTTCAAATGCTACATTTTTCTTTCCTACGTGATGAAACGGGAACAGGAAACTCGTATAAAACGATAAAGACAAATGAGTTCTCGATGCAAAACAAAATGAATTTCCTAAATTTGACAGTACCATGGTCTAAAGTCTTCCGAAAATAACCGAAAACCTACTAATTGGCTCACGTCCTCAAACACTTCACCTCCAGAGTGGGCTTGACATCAGCGCCAACGCTTATGATGTCAGTTCAAGAGGGAAGGAAGGCGCACTTCTCCTGCAAACTGTACATTGGTAACATTTCAGAAAGGACTACGACCATTGGCATGGCCAGACGCAAACCGCTTGGCAGAGCGCAGTAACGCCTTCATTCATGCCTCTCTCTCTCTCTCTCTCTCTCTCTCTCTATCACTTGTTCTTAACAAGTGGATTGGTTAAATTGCGAAATTGCGATAATGATATAACTTGATATCCTTAATGCACAAAGAATGTGAAAATGACGGAAATGTGGATGCGCACTTGTCAGGATCTGCTCAGTCTTCGATCTGCCTCCACGCCTCTCGCCTTAGAGACATACCTTTAAACGGCATAAGGCCTACAATGCAACCAACTAGGCAGTTAGCTTACTCTTCGAGCTAAATTTGTTTAATCAAGCTGTGTCCGTGGTTAAGCCCGTCTTTACAGCTTGCATAAACGAATTATGCAGTGTAGTTTTATGAATACGGATAATCTCATTTGGAGCCTCAACCGGAGATGTAACCCCTATGCAGGCCGTATTTACAGCGCAAATCAAATGGTCAATTGTCTTCTCTCCACTGTGCAATCTTATAAATGGCCCGTATTTCGAGTCTCTCTGCGCAATAAACTTGCTACGAAATGCTCCAACTTGCGAGGTGATCGCCCATTGGGTCCACCAAGTTGTGAAATACCCTCCCTGTTTCCCAGTTGGTGGTTGAGTCACTCAGAAAATAAGACATCGTTGTTTGTCTTGGTGGCTTCTTGACGAATTTGCTGTGTTATTAGTCATTTCAACTGTGCTTATGCTGGGCAGGTTACTTCAATCTGCATCCACCAAAACGTCGACGAATTTCGCATTGAAGGTGATAAGAAGGGCATTTTTCGTTATGCTATTTTCAATATTATTGAATACACTTTTTTGGATGGAGCACAAATTCCAGCCCACTTAACTTTACCTATCTCGTGTTGCTCTATTCAATTTTGTGAATTAAGCTCCATTTTTTCTGACCAAGTAGCAAAATGCTAAGGAAACCGACGCCATCTACATGAGATCGCAATCCCGAGGCCACCAACGAATTGCGTTGCCCTTGAATGTGGACATGAAAGTGTAATGAAGGATCAAAATGAGTGCACCAGCGTATGGAATTCCATCAATTCATCGCACTCTACAGATCGAAGACGACAGCCACCTTGGTCGGCAGGTCATGCGCCAGCAGACGAAGCTACCAAGGCCGTAAGTTGACTTTGAGGTTCTTACATAATGAGGAGCACAACCGGGCACGACTGAAGCCACACGTGGCAAACTATGGAGACACATACGAGAGTCATCTAATGTACGTAGTATTAAAAAGTACTACAACATTACCCTTTGCTTAAGATTTTAGTAAGTTTATCACAAATTATGAGGAAAGATTCATTTCATCAACATAAGTTGGGAAGAAGAAGCCAAAAAGCCTACTGAACATTGTGACACTACAAGCAATAAGCTCCAAAGCCTGCCTTTTGTTTGCTGGCGTGTGGCGATGGATGGCTTACGCACTTATGCTAGCAACTAAATGAGTAGACAATTTCCGTCTCCCCAACCGCTTCACTCACTCGCTGCTTATTTTCATAACACTATGCTTGTGTGTGCGTATGCCGTAAGTGCAGACGAACATGCGCTGATGGATAAACAACAGTGACAATGGAGTTCATCATCAAAATTGTACAAGGAAAGTATCTTCATACACTGCCGTGTCCAGTTGATTAGTAAGGAGAGGGTTCTACTCGTGTCTCTCATCGTAACATAAGCTCACGAGAGGAATGGGAAAGAGGTGCAAAGCTTTGCTCACAAATTGCCTCAAGTGATCGTTACTTTTTTTCCACATTAAGCAATTATATGCAAAGTAGATTAAACGAACCCGACACTAAAAAAGCAGTAGAGATGGCTGGCACGAAATTGTTTCCTCCTAGGAACTAGCATACTTGTTTGCAGTGCATCAAAGCACTCCTCAAACTTGTCCGTTTAGCGTAAATTTGGATGAACCCTTAGCCCATTGCCGCTCTTTCTGATTGCGATTTTGCTGGGAAAATGACTAAATGGCTTTGCTTTAAACCCTTCTAGTGCTCCTTACATAGCCTCCCTTTAATGCTCACGCCAGTAGCTCTGGTGAAGCAGTTTATCCCATCCATTAGAATCACAAAAAAAATTTAATCAGCTACAAGTCCCATGAGTTTGAACAGTCTAAAAATGCATTCCATGGTTTATCAAATAGCGATCTAATACATGTTTGCTGTTAATTATTCAAGAGTACAATGTGCCGAAATTTTTTAAGGATCATCGTCGACAAGCATCTTCTGACGCAGAGCACCGCACGCTGTTTTCATTACGAATTTCCATACACTTGTAACAAATAAGTCAGAACACGATTTGAATGATATCAGTCCATAAAGCCTCACCAACCCAACGTCTCTATTAAACCGAGAAAAATTCCTGCCCCCGTTGGATTTAGCCTTAATCAAAAAAGTTGGTAAATGTAATTTCGCACGAAATTGCTGCAGTTCCTTCACATTTATAACCTTTGACCTTGCCTAATTTCTCACACTGTCAAAGTGAAACTTTCTTTCCTTCTTTTCTCATTTGTGTATCCCCAAGAGCAAACATACACTGAAGTGCCAAATATATTGCACACAGGTTAAGAAAATTTGAAGATTTCATGTCTTAGACAAAGCATTTACGGACTTTTCCATTCATTCATAACATTGCCACAGAGACTCTGCAGAAGCTGCTGAAAGTGTTGCATCGCTGAAAGCGTTTCATCCTGAGTGGAGCCTGCCTAGGATATGGCGAAGACGAAACAAAATAAAAGAATGAAGGCTCATCAGACAGTACATAAATGCGAAACGAACTTGGAACAACCGTGGTTGCTAGATGCAGATAGTTTTAACGGCGTTACAACCGAAGTTCTATCAACTTATGAGTGCATTTATGTCTTTGGTTTCAACAGTTGTTAACTCCTCTACTGTCTATCCTAGGGAGACGGGGCCAACGCCTTTTTAACTCCATTTGTCGGAGCGATCGGTCTGCGTACGTGGTTTCCACTAATGCTGACTAATTTCAGCTATATCAGCTTTTAAATTGTTTGAAAATTTCCATCATGTACAATCACAATTTACCATTCCGTGTCTCATCGTCCATTTAAATGTAACGCAAGTTCCTAAGTCACCAAGGTGCTTTGCGTCAGTCTTTTTGGCGATTGGTTCACGGTCTGGCCAATCAAAATGCGGGGATAATACTGGTTAGTTCATTTCAGTTCATTTGATCACTCTGGCAAATACATCAAACGCCTTGACAGAGCACCCTATGAAAATCAATGAACTCAACGGAAAATTATTCTCGATTTCTTGCTTGTCAACGTAATATATTGGAATATGTCCGCAAATTTGGGCTTGGCTACTTTGGAGTATTAATAGTTTTTGGTACCATTGGGAACATCATAAGCTTGCTGGTAATTCGTGGAGTGGGACAGACATATCGCCAGCGTTCTTATCAGATCCAGAAGGAACCATCAGAGGAACAAGGACAGGAGCTTTCCGCTTTGCAAATCGGCTTAAGGCACAACACTTCGGTTAACATTGCTATTGAGCCCTCTCAATCCCCCTCGTCCAAAGCGAAGACAGGTGGACCAAAACCATCTGGAACTGGAGCATTTAGTCATGCCAGACTCTCTATCTCCAGTCCATCTGCTGTCCCTAAACGCCAACCCATGAGAAAGCATCCCTCTAAGTCCATTTTTACGGCTCTTGCGATAGCTGATACAGTTGCTTTATGGGTCAATCCCATACGCTATTGGATACTTTTCGCATTTGGTTTTGATATTCGACAGCATGACGGTGTAACATTGTGTCGGGTACACACATTTCTCACCTACGCTACGCGAGATATTGCCATCTGGGTATTATGCCTTTTAACATTTGAGCGTTACTTAATTGGGTGTTTTCCACACAAGGCAAAAATAATCTGGAGAGGACGTCGTAAGGTTTTCGCCTGGGTCGGAATCTTTGCTGTTATTTTGGCCAAAAACTCGATTCTCATATTCATTTTGCAACTTATCTATCCAGACGACGTGGGAGAGTTTGCAATTGTGGGACCAAGCTATGCCAGATTGAATTCTTCAAGACTACTCCTCTGTGACACTTTGGATCTTACCTCACGAAGAGTCTTCTTCTATCTTGACATAGTGATTTATAGTCTAGTACCAACAGGCCTTCTTCTTGTTCTGAACATAGCCCTTTTTAAAGTAATTCAGCAGCGAACCTTCATGCGTCGCAGATGTAGATTCTCCCCAAAATCAGATGATGTAAGTGCTGCTCCTCGAGAGGAAAGCATGCAAAATAGTGTGATCATGCATTCGGGATCATTAAAAATCAAGGGCTCAGTGGTTCAAGCAAATCGACTGTTAATTCCGGTAGGCATTTTTCACCTGATAACTTCTGTACCCATTTGCATATTTTCCATTGTTGAAGATTCCATGCAGCTAAAGCGCAGTCCTTCTGCCTACGTGCGATGCGTGGCAAACGCATGTGGATATCTGTTGGTAATGTTGGGCGCCACCACATATGGAGTTAATTGCCTAATTTACTTTCTCAGTTCACGACAATTTAGGGAGCGCCTCTACGCCCTCACCTATCCCACTCGCCTTGCCAGAGACGTTGAGCCCACCTCATGTTTTCTCGACCCAAATACTGCTATGGGTTCTCCTCATAATCCGAAAGACAGGAATATCAAGGACGAGAACCCTGTAGAATCAATGCAATTCTGCAATGACGCTCTCCGTTCCTCCTGACTATTCTGTGTATATGTGTACAGTATCGAGGATGAAATATGAACATGCATTGAATCACCACCGACACGCCAATGCTGCATGAAGTAATAAGATTTTGTGCTGAATGAGGTGTGCCGCCTAACAAGGAAGGGGAACTGAAGAGTGTAAGATAGCATTGCGATGCTATGACTATGAAGGTGAAATGGGTTAAAACCTATTCTCATCTTGTTAGCCCTCGGTCCTTTCCAAAATGCTGTCCCTTCGTCAGCTTCTTTTGAGACTGTGTTTTTATTAGTGCATGCTTACATACGTTTTATAAACCGTCAGTGGTGTGGCTTCATTCTCTTTACAAAAGTTGGTGTGCAGAAACCAGACCTTGTCTCAGCACACACCACACCTGAGTTGTGGCTTTTCGACCAAAGCTTTTCGTGGTCTGTACGAAGGCTGCGATTTTGCCCCCATATTTTGCTAACAACTCCACCTTCATTAGACACATGCATGGCGTGGCTGCTCGCTTGGGTCACGAACTTTCACGAGCCAAGGTCAGTGTACATGTGCCGACAAGAGTGTACTTTACGTTTGACCCTAGGTTTCTAACTGATGAGGATGATTTTAGTGTATTTCTGGCATGATTGACAAGAGGTTGTCTATTTCAATTACCACAAGTCATCAAGTCACCTGATAAATCTCAGTTACATTTTTGTAAATTTCAGATCTTCTACCACATAGAGAAATCCTTACGTATCTATTTTAAAGGAGCCTTTGATATTTTAAACATAACCCCTTCTTCATTGTTTCTACCCGAAACAATTAACATTTGCGGGTGATCCTAT